CCCTCGCGAACTCAGCACGCATGCAGATGAGCTTTCCAAGATACTCGATCGCGATGACTACATGCTGAAAACGCCGTGGTTCAGCATCCAGGTTCGGCGCTGGGTTCCCCATTCCATTGATCTCTTCGCCAATGCTAGCAATGCCAAGCTGAATTGTTTCTGTTCCGGTAACCCGCAACCCACAGCTACGGCGGTCAACGCTTTCATGATCTCTTGGTCTGCAGAACACAGCTTTGCCTTCCCCCCACCTCAATTGATCCACGCCGTCCTCCACCATGTGCAACGTACGCACGCATCTTTCACCCTAGTACTTCCCCACTGGCTCGGGCCCAGCTGGTGGCCAATCCTCCAACCCTAACCGCCAACCTGGGCTAGCCCCATCAAAGCTCACATCGGACTCACGCACGGCAGCCAATGCTTAGCACCAAGCACACACACTAGCGCCTTCTTGGGCTTTGGTCTACCTGATAGCCTCATGCTCGCTCTGCAAGTCGCGCTTTCTAATGTTTGCCTCCCCGCCTGTATTGTAACAAGATCTAATTCCAACCCTGCAACGCGAGCTGCTCTCGGTCCTGGCACAAACGCACGAAAACTCTACAATTCAAACATACGAACCTTACTGGCAGCAATTTCGTTCTTTCTGCATCAAGGTAAACCTTCCCTTCCCGTCAACCTCGGACATGACACTCGCCTTGTACCTTGTCTATGCAATTCGAAACAAGGCCACTCTCACATTGATACAACTCACATGCTCGGCCGTCAGCTTCGCTCACCGCATGATTGGAGCATCCTGCCCCAGCACTGGCCCCTCTATGTCACAAGTTCGAGAATTCACCGGCCCCGGCACAACCGGACCAAGGAGCCGGTCTCTTTACATCAAGTGCACGAGATGGCTACTCACTTCATCGGTGCTAACGACTCGGCCACATTCCATAAATATCTTATTCCACTTCACATGTATGCTGGATTTTTGCGTTTCTCCGATCTCGTGGCCATCAACTGGGAGGATATCCAGTTTTAGGATGACATAATGTGGCTGCTCATCCCACGCTCCAAAATGGAACAAGCAGGTCAGGGCTCATGAGTTCCACTTGCTGCTATCCCAGGACCCCTCATCCGATGCACCAAACGCTTCATCCGGTTGGCAGGCTATGGACCCACCACTCCCGGACCCTTAATCCGGGTGTTCCGCGTGGCCGCATGTGGCGTCCCTACCAGCAAGCCGCCATCATACACAACCATAGCCAACTGGTGCAAGGAGGCTTTCCATTCCATCGGCCTGGGTGAGCATCGCCTCGGCACCCACTCCTTTCATGAAGGCGTTGCGACGGTTGCTGCCCACGGAGGCGTAGCGGACCGGCTCTTCAAACGTCTTGGCCGATGGTGCAGTGGTACGGCCAAAGAAATGTACATCACAACCGCCGTCGACCAACTGGTTGCGGCTTCCCGTAACGTACAGACCCTCGGGTCGGCACCATCCCATGCACAACATTCTCGAGCTCTTGCACGCCACCGACAGCCATCTCAGTCCATATCTCAGGTCAACCCAGTGGAATGAGAACGATGCCATTTGCACTACAAGTAGCAAGCTTTCTCAAGATGTAAATTTTTATTCACGTTTCAAAATTGTGTATTATGAATGCGAAGCTGCTTGTAACGCAATCTTCGGCATCGTCAAAGCGCACTATTCGCCCTTCTCCAAGTATATAATGGGGTTGGAGGTCATTCTTCCTCCACCCACGTTTTTCATTTTTCCCAGCTCAAGTTCAATTCCCCCCCATCCAACCCGCTTTGTCTACCCTCGACAACTTGCACCGCTTCGGTGGATCATCCTCGGCATAGACATATCCTTGTTAGTGTAGAAATTTTATGTTCATGTATGAATATATTGGGAACTCTTTGTACTTGATGCCAGTGGAATGAGAACGATGCCATTTGCACTACAAGTAGCAAGCTTTCTCAATCTGTGTGATACTAATCGTGTGTAGGGCGGTCTCACAACACGATTGCATGCAATCCGTAAATGTCGAATCAGTTTTGGTGAAATCTCGAGATGTATTCTAATTTATGTTCTCAACGGGACAAACCTAGGGCATATGGTAAACGACATGAATTAAATGTCAGAATGTATATCTACATACGTTCATATCCTTCCACAGTTTGTAGAAAACCTGTGGGAGAAGCATGTACCATTGTAGCGAAAATGAGCCGTAGGTCTATCGAATTCCGCGATGGCTCTCAATCGAGACAGTGAGCTGTATCCAGTTATCAGCCAATCAGTTGCAAGCATCTGAGCATCTTCCATTCTTTGCAGTGGAAAATGTCGCCGGATGAGGGGAAGGGATTTTAGAGCCAATTTTCTTGCAGGGGAAGTTCCGGTCTAGCCGGAGACGGCAGCTGCAGGCACAACACCCCCTCATAATATCCTACTATACCTCCCTGAGCAACCTCCTGACTGAGTCCTAGCTGAACCCCCTGGGAGCTCCTAACTAAGGCCAAGCTAGTCACCTGCATCTCTCGCCCTTCACTGGGCAAACCTCCTGACGATGACAACGACAACGACGACGACAACTGTCAACGAGCCGCGCTGAGCTGAGCATGTCCTTGTGATGGCACTCTTATTGAGAAGGCTGAGTCGGCTGTTCTTGATGCCCTGGAGAACTACATACGAGCACGTCCCCTCAGTTTCTGCATCAATTCTTTGGTCCTCTATCCATTACATCATAATATCATTCTAACCAAAAACTGCTTCCGTGCAACGCTCAGTGAGCGTTGGAAGCCGGGGCGGCACAGGGCGCACTTCAACCTGAACTCATTTGCCCCATGGCCCGCGGCAAGGTTCCGACAATGGAGCCGGCTTTCGTAGCAGCGAGACTGCTCGTGGCGTTCATCGGCGCGGCGCATTTCGTGCCGAGAGCGGCGGCGGAGGATGCTATTACGTGCATCAAGTTGACTTACCCTACTTACGACACGGCCGTGCCCCTCGGCGATAGGTGCGCTTTGCTGCGGTCGTCTCTGACATTTTTTATCCCCACATTCCCATGTCCGAGTCCTACTCTCCTACCCAACGCCCCGGGCGGCGAGGAGATATGGACTCCCTATACGTCGGGCCGGCTGCGACCGCCCTTCGGAGGCTGTTGCTGCGACACTAGGCCAATGTCGTCTTGAAGACACTCACTTCAACTTGAAGACGGCCCTCATCCTCATCTCCCACTCAATGAGACGGCAGCGCCGGGGGCACAGTGATGGTTGCATCCCACATTTGTCCAGTCCTATGACTTTCTCCCAATGTGCCCGCCTCTACGCTCTATCTCCAATGCCCCGCCGCCCCCAGTCTTATGCCCCACACATTCCCCTCTTTCCATTGCGCCTATCCCCAGTCTTATGCCCCACACATTCCCCTCTTTCCGTTGCGGCCATCCCCATTCTTATGCCTCACACATTCCCCTCTTTCTGTTGCACCCATCCCCAGTCTTATGCCCCACACATTCCCCGCTTTTCGTTGCGCCCATCCCCAGTCTTATGCCCCACAGATTCCCTGCTTTCTCTTCCGCCCATCCCCAGTCTTATGCCCCACACATTCCCCTCTTTCCGTTGCGCCCGCCCCCAGTCTCATTCTCCACTGGCAGACGCCCAACTCGACAGAGCTCAAGCTCATCCTCGAGTCCACCAAGCCTGGCTGGGCGGCAAGTGGGGTGGTCGGCGGACGGCAAAATGGCTAGCAGCGACGCCGTGATTGGCGGTACTGACAAGTCGTTAAGTCCGGAGGCGTATTCAGGAGCCTGTTGGGACATTTGGCAGTTGGAGCGTGGCCAAGGGAAGTTCGTATAAGGGGAATAGCTCCTCGAGCACCTTGACGTGAGTGGCGATAGTAATGAGAGTAGCGGATACATGACTGTGCCGGCAATAAGGTAACGATCATGTGAGCTAAAATGGCAAGCTATAGCATATTTCGTGCTGTGGCATCCTGCCGCGACATCATGACTTCATGCGGCGACATCTGGCATCATGCTGCGACATAATGACATCATGCTCCGGCATAATGACGTCATGCTGCGACATTGTACTCTGGTTCTAATGAGCCTGCCATGCATGGCAACATAAGTAAGCTCAATCACACATATTGATCGTCTGGTCTGGCTGCAGATTCATTCGCATCGACGGCACTTGGAATGTGCCAGTGAAGCTGTCGGGCCTTTCTAGCATCATCTATGCTTTCTCCGCGGACGACGCGAAAACTCTTGCCTATCATGGCCCGACGAATAGGTAACCAAACCCAATCCATTCCACTGTTTTTCTTTTTGCATTTATCATCACCTGTTGCACCACACTCACTTTCCGCCCTCACCCTCCGCTGCAATGTTCATTACAAGCTCCTGGTTTGCTTTGCTTCTAGGGGATCCGTGGTTGTTGACTTCTCCTGCGCGAAGCTACTCAACATTGCGTCCGCACACGGGGCGGCTCCGTCCGCACCCACCTCGTCGACTCCACCACCGCCACCTAAGTCAGGAGCATTGCCTCTCAGTCGTTCTTCCTGGCTGGTGCCTGTGGCTCTGCTTGCTAGCCTGGTTCCCTTTCTTATGTCATTCGCGTGCTGCTGGTATGTGTGGCAAAACATTGTTCTCAACGGAGCCAACATAGGGCAGTACTTACACTGCGCTTGCAGCCTGGTGGTTGTGTTTCGTAATTTGAGAAGTGGGTTATTTGGACGAATAGTTTATGCAAGTCGTGTAGGAGGGTTTGGCAGTATGTGATGCTTCTTAATGTGAAATTAATAGGTAACCTCATACAGTCCAAGCATAAAGTCGTAGTGTAGAATCAATATTGTGTATCAATTGTGCGACCAGTCAACTCAGGAAGGGAGGCCGAAGAGAGGGTCAAGGAACGGGTTACACGCCAACGAGAATTCGGCACCCAATTGACGAACGTGCTGAACGTCTGAGCTGTCCTTGCGACATTGAAATTGTGGGCACCGCGCTCCGCACAACCATCTTCGCCACGCAGATTTCCGCCTCGTTGTCATTCTTCGCCAAAGTCGCACGCGCTGTATCTGAGTCGTACGGATTGCGGCGATTTTCTGCACCGCTATTTTCAGGGCGAACTTCGCAAAAAGACTTCTAGCAAGTCGCACGCACCATCGCCACCACCAGACCAGAAGCATGATGCTGGCACGAGAACCATTCTCAAGGCGGACCCCTGCGTAATTCATGATGAATAAGGCGGTAATCACTCAAGGCTAGTGCTTCGCAACTCTCGTTTGTATCACTGAGTTCATCCAGTGTTAGTTGGTCGCATTTCCAAGAGTCTGCGTGACATCCGCCCTCCGTTCCTGCTTTTATGCCCAACCGCTCTCCATCCGCCCTCAGACGACATGCTGCCCACCCGGCGGAAGGCACGCCGCGAAATGCGCGCGCCGAATCCAACCGCGCGGCTTTCCCCTCTCCTCCTCCTCCTCCCCCTTCTTCTGCTGTCGGGGCGCGGCTCGGGGCTCATCTTAGCTGACGCCGCGGCATGCCAGGCGTCCACCCTCTCGGAATTCACGAGCTCCGTCGACCTCTCGGGCAACGGGTGCGTATATCGAATCGCGCTCGGGATTGATAACAGCGGGGATGAAGCAGGGCGGTCTCTCCCCTTCGGAGGAGGCCTTCCCCCTAAAGTTTCTTCTCCCCTCCCCCCAACCCCCCCATCCCCCCACCAGCAGTCTCCTGCCCCAATGGACACTTGGCAGCGCCTCCCCCTCGGCGCCTCCCCCTCGGCGCCTCCCCCTCGGCACCGCCTACCCCCTCAGCTCCCCCCCCTGGGCCCTTGACACCTGCATTTTGAGTCGTCTCAAGATAATCCCCCACCCCCACCCCACCGGACTGCCTCTTTCTCCACTGAGCCCTTGGCACCGCCTCCTCCTCGACGCTCCTGCTAAAGCGGCCCTGGAAGCAAAACCGGGCAGCGGCGCCAAGGCCGGGTGGATCTCAGTGGGCTGGTCGCCCGCCAGCCAGCCGCATGTGCCCCGCTAGACTCCATTATCGGGAGCCTCCGGGGCGGCTGCTAGTGCCGTGCCTAACAGCTCCCTCCCCCTTGTCTGCTCCTCCCCTTCTGCCCCCTCCCTTCCCCGTCTCCGCCGCTCCCCGCAGTCTCGTGCTGCTCTGGGCGCTGGACAGCCTTCAAAGCACTCAATCAAGCCGCGCTCCAGCTGGCCGGTGGTTATCCGTGGAAACCAGGCCGGGCAGAGGGGCAGTCAGCCCAGCGGTGCTGGCCGTGGATATCGGTAGGGTGGTCCGGGTCGTGCTCCAGCTCGTCCTGTAAGCCAAAGCGGCCAGCGGCGCTGGGGCCGAGAGGATCTCCCTGGGCTGGTCCCCCTCTGGCCGCAATGTTCCCCGCTGACTGCGTCATTGGGAGCCTGCCAAACGGCTACTAGTTCCCCGCCTAACAGCTCCCTTCCCCATCCCCATCCCCAACCCCCCTCTTCCCCGCAGTCTCGTGCTGCACTGGTCGCTGGACGGCACTCCAGCCACGCTCCAGCTGGCCCTAGAAGCCAAGGCTGGCAGTGGCGCGGAGTCAGGGTGGATATCTGTGGGGTGGTCGCCCTCTGGCAGCATGTTCCCTGCCGATTGCGTCATCGGGAATCTTCCCAACGGGGCCGTGGGCGCATACTACATCGACGGCTACGATCTCTCTAACGTGCAGCCCACTGATTCGTTCTCGATTGGTGCCGCCGCGTCGACGGAATCAGCCAATGGCGGCGCGGCAGTTGTGCGGTTCGCCCGCGTAGCGGGGGACGGGTCGGTGGCTGTGGATGTGGCGGGGAGTAACACGGTGATATGGGCTTTCTCCGAGTCGGGCTCGCAGGCGCTTGACTTCCACGGGCGCAACGAGTGAGCTGCTGCTTTGCATGTTGCTGCTTGGCATGTTGCTGCTTGGCATGTCAGTATTTTGCACGTTGCTGCTTGGCATGTCGCTGCTTGGCATGTTGCTGCATTGGCACGTCCATATGCCCCTGTGCCTCAGCTGCCACCACGATCCTTTATTCTTCGTCCCCCCTCCACCCCCCACCCCTCCTTGCAGTGGCCGTGCGACTGTGGACTTCTCGTGTGTGGGCGCAGCAGCAGACACGGGCAGCACAGGCAACACTGCCAGCACTGGGAATACTGGAAACACCGGGAATACTGGGATGACTGGCAGCACGGGCGGCACTGGCAGCACGGGCGGCACTGGCAGCACGGGCAGCACTGGCAGCTCAGGCGGCACTGGCAGCACGGGCGGTACTGGCAGCTCGGGCGGCACTGGAAGCACGGGTGGCACTGGAAGCTCGGGCGGTACTGGCAGCACGGGCGGCACTGGAAGCACTGGAAACGCCGGAGGAGGCATCGATGGTTTGCCTCCCATTGATTTGCCGCCCATAGAGCTGCCGCCCTTCCTCAACGACTCCCTCTCCTTCCCAGGGCTCCCGGGGTTCCCTGGCGGCCCCCATGGGCCCGGGGATGGGCCTGGGGATGGGGCGGCAGGCAATTTGACATGGGAGGGACCATGGGGGAACATGACATGGGATGGGCCATGGGGTAATGGCATGATTGGGAATGGCTCATTCCCCCCCCCATGGGGCAATCTCTCTTGGGCTAATGTGACTTGGAGCAACGGCACGCTTTCCGGTCCGTGGGGCAACTTCTCCCTCAATGCCACGTGGCCTCTTCCTGAGCCTTGGGGCAATGCCACGTGGCCTCCTGGCTCATGGGGCAATGCCACGTGGCCTCCTGGCTCATGGGGCAATGCCACGTGGCCTCCTGGTCCATGGGGTAACGGCACGGGGCAGGGCCCATTCGGCAACCTGACATGGGATGACGCCAACTGCAGCAGCGGGAATGTGACTGGGGGAGGAATCGGGGGGGGGCCTTCTAGGGGGGGGGGTCCCGTCAGTGGCATACTTAGCTGGATATTTGGGTGGGGTGACCACAGCGGGGGTGGTGGCGATGGCAAGGAGCCACCCGGGGAGCCGGGCTGGTCGGGAGAGAGTCTCGATGATGATGATGATGATGGTCGAGGTGGTAGCAGTGGTTTTGGTGAGCGGGGTGAGGGTGGTGATGATGATCATGGTCCTGGCGGCAGCGGTGACAGCAGTGGTAGTGGTGGTGGCAGCAGTGACAGCAGTGGCAGCAGTGGTGGCAGCAGTGACAGCAGTGGCAGCAGTGGCGGCAGCAGTGACAGCAGTGGTAGTGGTGGTGGGTCGTCTGGTGGTGATGATGGATACGGTGATGATTACAGCGGGGGAGGCTCATCCGGGGGAGGTATCAACCAGGGGGGGTCCAGCGGAGGGGGGACAGCATGTCAGGCGTCGAGCCTGCCTGGTTACAACTACTCGGCAGACCTCTCAGGAAATGGGTACGGAACCACATTGGCTTTTTTATTCCTTTTCTCTCCGTATCTTCTTGTTCTTTCCGAGTGCCTTTTTCCTCTCTCTTTTTGGTTGCTTCCTTTTTTTCCTCTTTTTTTTGTTTTTTTTTTTTTTTTTTTTTTTTTTTTCGCATGTTCCTCCTCCCAAACGTCCCCCGCATCCCCCTTATATTCCTGTCCGTCTCATCCTGATCTGTGGAGCAGCAGCTCCCAGGAGCAAGTGTAAGTCCACCTTTCTCACATCCCCCGCATTCCCCCTCCCATGTTTCCCCTCATTTCCCCACAACTCTGCCCCTTCTTCCCTTGCTTCCCCTCTCCTCCTCCATCCCTCCAGCCTCATTCTCCATTGGACGCTCGCTCCCAGCCAATCACAGCTCACCATGGCCCTGGAAGCCACGTCCGCGAGCGGGGGAGCCAACGGGTGGATCTCCGTGGCCTGGTCGTCCAATGGGAAGATGACACCTAGCGATGCCGTCATTGGGAACATGCCTGGCGGCGCTGTGGGCGCATACTCCATAAGCGGCTACAGTGTGTCGGACGTACAGCCTACAAGCAGCTTCAGTATTGGCAGCAGCGCCGGGACCTCATCTCAAAATGGCGCCACTGTTGTGAAGTAAGTTGCATAGATTGGGGCGGGCTGGATGGTGGTATGCATGCCTGATTTCGAGGCTATATATGGTCACTCTGCTGGTTTTCCAATTGGTCAAGTCAGGTGCTCCTAGTGCTGTGCAACCCTGTGTGCTGTGCTCTTATCCAGGCTGCTTGTCTTTTGCCCAATTGCAGGTTTTCCCGTGCGGCAGGGGAGGGTGGGGTTCCCATGAGCATCAATGGCGCCAACACGCTCATCTGGGCCTTCTCAGAGTCCGGCTCGCAGTCGCTCGACTTCCATGGCCGCAACTAGTGAGTGCACTGCATCCATTTGTTTTCTTCACCGCTCCCTACCTTTTTATTGTTCATAAGCTTCTTTCCTGTCCAGCATTGACTGTTGTCGGGTGATTATTCATCGCGGACTAGAATCTGCCTGCTTCCTCGCTCTCATGTGGATTGGTGGGCTGCAATTTGTTCTGTGTTCGTTTTTATTCCTGACAGTGGTGCCAAGACAGTCAACTTCAATTGCGGAAACACGACCACCGCAGGATCAGCAATCAAGACAACTGACACTGCCTCCAGTGGGGTCGTGCAAGGGACTGGAGAGAAAACTTCCACTCAAGGAAAACATGCAAGACAGCTGAGTTCCAGCACCAGCTTCCTTGCTGGTATTATCATTGCACTGGCATGCATCTTGTTTTATGCGTAGTATGGAAATGTTTGGCAATGGAGCCTTTGTATCTCAAATCCAGACTACAAACTAGAGTGCACCTTGCTCACACGAATCCGCTTGTTTCAGTCACCCCTTACACCTGAAACGAGGATCCGCCGCGGGGCCAGAGCAACCAATGCGCCTGTCGCACCACGTCCGAAGCAGCCTTTACCAGACCAAGCTTCGAGGTGGGTCAATCTGCTCTGCGCGATTTCTGCTGGACAAGCGGGATCCTACCTCGGGCTGAACAAGTTTGGGTTCCCTTACAGCTTTCCGAGCCTGACACTGAGCCTCGTTCAGCCTGCGCGAGACTGGAACACGTGCTCACCTAAATCACCGAATCGGTTGAGTTCGACGACCAATCGGAGCTAACCACGGTACTTTCAGTGACGTCGATATTGTCACACGAATATTGTCGAGCCGCGATGTGATCTAAGCACACTCACCACGCGATCACCATTTGCACTTCCTGTGCGTAATCTAGATTCTAGAACCTAGAGATTTCCCCAGAGAGTCTTCCTGAGACAGGACAAGAGCACAGACGTACTTGTCGAGCGGCACATTTACTTATCTTGAATATCAACCAGACGTAACTGGAAGGCAACATTGTCGCTTGGCCCATCACCTGTTGCGCGGAACGAGAGTGTCGCTGAGCGAAAAGAAACGGCATCTAGTGAATCTGGTAACAATCGCTGCTGAAACTTCGGCACTTTGCGGCAGGGACTACACTACACTTCATGGCGTCGCATCGGTCTCGTCTCTCGCGTGTCGTACCTCGCTCGATGCCAGCACTTTTGCTTCTCGTAGTATCGTGCTGCGTCGATTCACCTTCGACCCGTCTATCAGCGACGGCCTTTTCGTTAACGCCTTCGTTCCTCGCGCGCCATCGCACGCGCGACGAAAGCTCCGGAGCGATCCCGCGACGGAAGCTCGCTGCGTCGCTTCCGTGCATCAACTCGACACTATTTGGATACGCTTATGCGGTGCAGCTTGGAAACAGGTACGAATCTAGGCGGGCAGCTGGGTGACAGGTACGATTTAGATTATCTTCATAGTGTCCTTTACAGATTCTATTCCTCTTTCTCCCCCCCCCTCCCTCTCCCCCCCTCCCCCAATTCCTCCATCCCCCCACCTCCATCCCCCCACCTCCATCCCCCACCTCCATCCCCCCACCTCCATCCCCCCACCTCCATCCCCCCACCTCCATCCCCCCACCTCCTTTCCCCTTCGCGCCCCCCCCTCTTGCCCTCCCCTCATCTCCTCCCCTCCCTCCCCCAGTCTCATCCTGCACTGGAAGCCCCAAAACGGCACGGTAACGAACATGGCGCTGCAAGCAGTAGCCCTCTCCTACTCATACCTACTCATACCGCTTCCCTCTTCCTCCCCTCCAGTCTCATCCTGCACTGGAAGCCTCAGAACGGCATGGTAACGGACATGGCGCTGCAATCCGTCCCCTTGTCAGGCGCCCAAAAGGGGTGGATCTCCGTGGGGTGGTCTGGCGAAGGCCGCATGGCGCGCAGCGACGCCGTGATCGGCAACGTGGGGGGTTACCCGAGCAACGTGGTGGCGGTGTATCTGGCGGGGACGAATCCTGCGGATGTGAAGCCGACAGGATACGATCTGGGGAGGACGGTTCTGGAAGATGGTCCAACTGGTTCGTTCGTGATCAAGTGAGTCTAGATACGGGTGAGGTCAGCACGGCCGGCATAGCTGTGAGGCTACCCTAGCAACGTGGTGGCGGTGTATCTGGGGTGGGTGGAACCCTGCGTAGGCCTAGGGATCACCAGATGCCGTGATCGGCATGTAGCGGGCTACCCGAGCAACGTGGTGGCGGTGTGCCTGGGTGGGACCAATGTTGGGGATGTGAAGCCAGCGGGATACGACCTGGGGAAGACGGTTATGGAGGACGGCCCTACAGGGTCTTTTGCCATCAAGTGAGTGGATCAAGGGATGTGTATTTTTGAGGCGCCTCAAAAAAAGGGATGTGTATTTTTGAGGCGCCTCAAAAATAGAATGGATGAAGGGATGTGTGGGAGAAGCATGAGGACGGCTTTGGAGGCCGATTATACCGGGTCGTTTGTGATCAAGTGAGTCCGAATGGGGGTGCTCGTGTGGCAGGAATATGAGATGGTAGGTAGGTGACGTGGCGGATTACCAGGGCGAGATAATGCCAGCGTATTTGGGGATGGGAGGGTGGGGGGGAGGGGAGGGTGAGGAGCGTGGAGGACGCGTTTCTCCCCCTTCCAGGATATGGCTTGCAAAGGACAAGTCGCATCTTGGAAGGGGGAGAAACGTCGCGCGTTGCAGGTAAGGGTTGGCACGTCCCCCTTCCAGGATATGGCTTGCGAAGGGTGAGTTCACACGTGGCAGGCACAGCCCCTGAGCTTCAACCCCACGGGGGCCAACACGCTCACCTGGCCCATTCCTGCTTTCTGGTTGCCATGTCTCATCGCGCCCCCCTCTCTCTCCCTTGGCAGATTCTCCCGGCGGGTTGATGATGGCACGGTGCGCTTCAACCCCACAGGGGCCAACACGCTCATCTGGGCGTACTCCGCGCCGCCTGGCTCCACCGACCTCGCCTTCCACGCCGGCAACAAGTGAGTGCACGGTCGGTCTCTTACCTCATGCCGCCACATCACACTCCGCCACATCTCGATCCGCCACATCACAATCCGCCACATAACACTGCATGCAACTTGTGCTCTTCTGGGTCTACTCCGCGCCGCCTGGCTCCACCCAGCTCGCCTTCCACGCCAGCAGCAAGAGAGTGCACGCCACACCGACCCTCCATTGCCTCATATTGCCACGTCACATGCCGCCACATCACATGCCGCCACATCACACGCCGCCACATCACATGCCGCCACATCCCATGCCGCCACATCACAATTTGTTGAAGGTTGTTCATGCTACTGCTTGTACGTTCATTCTACTGCAGTTCAGTATCCATCTCTGCTTGGGCTTGTCATGCCTCTGCAAGTAACACAGTTGAGCCACTTCCTGTCCAGGCCTTTGGGGTTGTCTTCACCACAATTCCCATAATGGTCAGGAGTGGCTTAGCCTACTCCGTTTCTTGGGGCCTTTTGAAGTCACTCAGCCACTCGTTTTCCAATACTCTGCATACCTGTCCACTGTTGTCCACGATCATCCAGGGGCTCTGCATTGGTCGACTTTTCGTGCACTGGAAAGGCAGGAAGTGGGCTCGGTCCAAGGCATTTGCCAGCACTGTTTGCTGTAGTTTTGGCGGTGATGTGGGTTGCCATTTAGCTTATACCTACCATGCCTTTGCCAACCAACAGCATGCATGAATTCTCACAGATTTAGGATACTCCTGGGGATAATTTTGGTGGTTGAACCCAGACCAAAAAGTACACAAGACTATGTAGCAAGAGTGCAAACTAATGCACAATATACATCAGTACACACCTTGGTTACAGAGAGCTACACTAGATGAACTGGTTTTACCAGGATCTTTGGCTCATCCTCGAACCGAAGCCAGAAGAAACCAATTTGATCCAGCACGAAATCGAAGACGTATACCACACAGAAGAGACCTATCATGATGGAGAAAGCTATGTAGGACCACTGCCAAGGAGGGGAGGGGAGGGGAGGGGAGGGGAGTAGAGCATTGAGACGGGCGAGGCATAAGCCATTGACAACATAACATGGCTATCGAGCTCATGTTGCATGCAAAAAAACTGGACTCACATCGAGGTCATATCCAAACTTGGAGGTGGCAAGATCGAACCCCAGGTACGTGTTGGCCCAAGCGATCGCCACCGTGCCGACCCCAATCACCCAGTGCAGGGCAAACCAGGATGGACGGCTGGGATGCTTCTTGAGCGGCCTGAGCTGGCCCACGATTGGCTGCGCGACGATGAGCACCATGACGGCCAATCCGAGTTGTCCGTGCGTGGAGTGCAATGATTGCGCCCCCTTTTCCACAAAGGCCATGATGATTCCAGCGAGAGCGAGGAGGACAGCCGACAGCATGAGCCACTTGTGCGCCTCAAACGCCACGGGCTTGCTCAGCCATGGCTTCCTAGGGACTGCTGCTGTCCCCCCTGCTGCTGTTGCTGCACCGCCTACTCCTGCTGCCTCTGGATTTGCTGTTGCTGGTCCCTCTGCTCCTGCTGCTGCACCAGTTGCTGCTAATGACGGGCCGCCAACGGAGAGGGAAACAAGAGCCGGTGCATCTTCTGCCACCAGCCCGCTAGGCAGCTTTGATTTTCTCTCTTCTGCTGCTGCTGTTCCTGCTGCTGTTGCTGCTGCTGCTGCTGTGCCACTAGCATCGGAACCAGGAGTAGGGGCCATGGGCTTATCCGCTAGGAAGAGCCTGGAGATGAGGATGGCAGCGGGCATGAGGACGCCAAAGGCCACAGCGAGCATCCATGCGTGGATGCTGTAGAGCGTGGCGCCCCCGCTGCTCCACTCGCCCACCTCCGATGCTCCCGTGACGAAGTTGATTGTAGCAGAGCCGCTGATAACGGGGATAAGGGGGGAGGGTGGGAGGGTAGGGTACTGAGAATCAGTCAAGTGACGGAAAGCCTGGGGAGCATGTCGTGAGGGGAGAGGGAGGGGGAGGGAAATGCAGCGTGATCGGGAGCAGCAGTGACTCTGTCTATGAAAGCCCGCCTGTGACTGAGACACGCCTGTATGAATCTGGAACTTTGGGCAACACGACGGCTGGAGACTCACGCATTGAGCCCGTGGTCGGCTAGTTGCTGCGAGTTGTCGAGAGAGTAAGCCCAGATGATGTTGCTGCTGCTGCTGGCACCGCCATCAGTCCCGCCCAAGGGAAACTCCCCATCTGCCATGGACCGCGCAAACTTGATCGTTGTGCGCCCACTCACAGTCTCGACCGCACTGTTGGTAACCGCAAACGACCCCGTCGGTGCCACGTCGCTGCTGCCGTAGCCCGCCATGCGGAACGCCCCCACTGCCGCCCCTTTGGAGAGGGTGCCCGAGGGGAGGTTCCCGATGGCAGCATCGGCGGGGTGCATGCGGCCGGTGGCGGACCAGCCGACAGACACCCACCCGCTTGTGGCTGCCTCTGCTGCCAGGGCGATGCTGCTGCTGGTGCTGCTGGCGCTGACCTTCCAGTGCAGGATGAAACTGCGGGGGGAGGGGGGGAGGGAAGAAGGGGGGAACGACATGATGCGGGCAGAACATGCGAGCATGGCTTCTATGGATGTGAGCACTCTGCTTGTGAGTGGACTTGAAAGATATAAGCGAGCACGAGCTATGGGTTTCCCATGCCCCATGCCCCACGCCCCACGCCCCATGCCCCATGCCCCATGCCCCACGCCCCACGCCCCACGCCCCACGCCCCACGCCCCACGCCCCACGCCCCACGCCCCACGCCCCACGCCCCACGCCCCACGCCCCACGCCCCACGCCCCACGCCCCACGCCCCACGCCCCACGCCCCACGCCCAACGCCCCACGCCCCACGCCTCATGCCCCACGCCCCACGCCCCATGCCCCATGCCCCATGCCCCATGCCCCATGTGCCCCCATGTGCCCCATGCCCCATGCCCCATGTGCCCCCATGTGCCCCATGCCCCATGCCCCACACTCCAAACCCCTGCGCACTCACCTATCCCCATTGAGCTGCATCATGCAGTCGTATCCGGAGAGAGACGACGCCGTGCACGCACTGCTGCTGCTGCTGGATGATGCTGCTGACGTGCCCTCCAGTGATTGGTCGTCAGCGCCCTGTGCTGATGCGGTGGAATTGAGAGTAGTGGCAGCAGTGGAGCAAGTGAAATCCACTTGAAGCGCTCCTCTGACCACATTTGACAATAACGGGGGTGACAATAGGGGAGTGGCATGGGGAAACAACGAAGGTTGTTGAGAGGATGAGCATTTGTTTGCAACCCTAACTGGGAAATAGTCATCACCACATGCAGTGTAACCTTGTAGTGTAACCTTGTGGTGTAACCTTGTAGTGTAACCTTGTAGTGTAACCTTGTAGTGTAACCTTGTAGTGCAACCTTGTGGTGTAACCTTGTGGTGTAACCTTGTAGTGTAACCTTGTAGTGTAACCTTGTAGTGTAACCTTGTAGTGTAAGTTGTAACCTTGTGGTGTAACCAGGTGATGTAACCTTTTGTTGTAACCATGTGGTAAACAGCAGATGAGCTTACTGGTTCTGGTAGGGGAAGTCCAGTGCCTGCGTGCCGGACCCCGAAAACGCCCACACAAGGGTATTTACCCCGTGAAAATCGACAGGGACTATTCCCCCATCCCCTTCTGTCCGGGTAAACTTCACAACGGTTGCTCCGTTACTAGCCGATTCAGTTTTTGCTTCAGTCACGGTGAAATTGGTGGTACGCGTAACATCGGATATGTGGTAACCAGTCATGGCGTATGCAGCGACCTCGTTTCCTGGAAGGTTCCCGATGACAGCATCAGCAGGGGCCATCCGGCCGTCCGTTGACCAGCCGATGGAGATCCAACCGCTCACAGCCCCGCTGCCCTGCTGTGCCTCTAACGCCAGCCGCAGCTGCGCCCTCGCCCCGGCGCTGCCACTGCTGTTGCTGCCACTGCTGCTGCTGGGGGTGCCGCTGCTTTTGCTGCTGCTGCTGCTGGTGGCACTAACGAGCGTCCAGTGGAGCAGAAATCCATTCTTTATAGTAAAAGAGTGCTCGTATCCCGAAAGGGAGGAAGCCTGGCATGCAGCCGCACCAGAGGAGGATCCATCGCCCTGACCGGCTCCTTCCCCCCCTTCCCCTCCCTCCCCTCCTTCCTCGCTGGCTGTGGAGTTGCTTCCAGCGCTGCTCCCAACGGTTCTTGCGTTGCCCCCAGCGCTGCCCCCAGCGCTGCTCCCCGCAGTGGAGTTGGCAGCAGCGGCTCCCACGCACGAGAAGTCCACCAATTTGGCGCCGCTGATGACGGGGGGAGATTGAGACGAGAGGGATCTCAATGAGGACACGAAACGGAAGATTCTGAAAATACCTCGAACATATCGACGGGCGCAGTGGTGGGCGAAGTGGTGGGCGCAGTGGTGGGCGCAGTGGTGGGCGCAGTGGCGGGCGCAGTGGCGGGCGCAGTGGTGGGCGGCGCAGTGGTCGGCGCAGCAGTGGTGGAAAGCAAGGGCAGGGTGGAGCCTGGCTCGTGAACGTTCAACCCTATGTTAAGATTGAGAACAGAACGACGTTTTGAATTTCAGTGCGCTCACTCGTTGCGGCCGTGGAAGCCTAGCGCGGTGGAGCCCGAGTGGGAGTAGGCCCAGATGATGGTGTTCGCCCCCGCCACGTTCACCGCTATCGCGCCGCCGTCGCCGCTCGCCCGGGAGAACCTGCCGACGCGGAGACATACAGACGAAACACGAATGCGTCAGAAACGGAGGTTTCAGAAAACGACGCATCCTCGTGGGTAGCGAGTCGTTTCTGTCATACGATGGCGGCATGCCGCTTAGGAATGGATCGCTGGATATCGTGGCGACGAACTCGTGACCTAACTTCGACACGTCTGGAACGAAGAGTTTTGCCGATAAGGAATCCCCGATTTAGGCTCGCGCACAAACATTTTGCAAGAATGTCACTGTACAAGCTACAGTGAAATGCCTTCGAGCGAGATATGCGAGTGTACCGAACTTCGGTAACATGAACCCAACCACTGAAAATAAACCTGAACACAAAAAATACAACAAGCGCGAGAACAACCGACCAGCCGCCACCCAAATCACGCGAGTCACTCACTGCATGATAGTCCCGCCGTTGGACGTCAGCATCGCGGCAGAACCGAGCGCGAAGCTGCTGGTCGGCGCCACGTCAGCGTCGCCGTAACCGCCCATGTAATACGCGCCCATTTCACCGCCCGGCAGGTTCCCGACGACGCAGTCCGCGGGGTACATGCGGCCGTCCGCGGACCACCCGGCAGAGATCCAGCCGCTCTCAGCGCCGCTGCCGGATTTGGCTTCCAGCGCCATCCGCAGCGTCGTCCGCGCGCCATCGAGCGCCCAGTGGAGCACGAGGCTGCCGTGATCGGGGGAAAGGAAATCTGGGTGAATTGTTGACTCAATGGAAACTTGGCGATAGAGGAGATGAAAATGGGAATAGAGGGCGTTAGCGGGGTTATAACTTTGTGCGCTTCAGTGAAGCACAGGAGATGCGGGGGCTAAATTTTGGATAAATGAACGACGTCTGGGGTAATGCTTGAGCGAAGAACTCTGCCGAGAAAAGAAAAGAAAAGAAAGAAAGAAAAAAAAAAAACAACAACAAACAAACAAACAAAACGACTTACCCGTTTCCCGAGAGGTCGACGGAGCTGGTGAATCCCGCAAGCGAAGAGCTCTGGCACGAAGCGGCAGATTCCGCGAAGCTAGCGGACAGGAGAGCTAAGACGAAGAAGTAAACGCGGCTGAAGGTGAGGATTCGGAGAGTAACGGATACGAGTGAAGACATTCGTTCCATTCTGAATTTCGAGTGGCGGGGAAACTTTTAGAGGGGGACCAGCGGGGCACAAATCGTCCAGATAACTTGAGACCTGCCGGTTGCATATATAATGGACTTTCACACGTTTGCGTATGTAGACGCTTATGCAACGTTGGTTACCTCAGGCTGCTACTTGAAGTGTTCGCCGTGAGAACTAGTGTTGTAGTAGTGATGTTCCTCGTGATGAGTACATCCCAAAATTCCAGGATCAGAAATACGGAGTAGGTATACAGTAGGTATGGCATAGGTACGTCTGCTACGGAGTAGCCTTGCTATACGAACAACTATACCTACAATATAGGAGAGGTCCACATTTTTGTGATGTAGTTAGAGTTGACAGAATGGAAGGGAAGGGAGGGAAAGGGAAAGTGGAGGGGGTCAAATTGGTTGGGAAGGGAAATTTGATGAAATCGTTCTTGCTGAAATGGTCTGATCAGCGGCCTCAACTTGAGGAAGAAATGCTCGAGCGGTTCGCCGTACGGAAGGGGGTTGAATCGGAAAAGAAAATTGTCGGTGCATTTTGCTCCAAGCTGGCGTGGTTCGCGCGTAGCCGTCCGATTTTGCGATTAATTTGTTTCAGGTAATGGCTAGGAGGATTTCGGAATAGGGAAGCGAGACATGAAGGAAGATGGACGATTCTGCTGGGGAGGACACGCAGTCGAGCGTGCGGTCGCGATGCCTCAACACTGATGAACAGCGTTTACCAGTGGCTGTTGTGCACCGAACCCCAAGGACAGTGATTCGCGGAGACCCAGTCTTCCGAGATCCAGACCATGTCAACGCCTTGACTTCGCAGAAAGATACACTCAAAACCTGGTTGTACATTGTAACTGAGTACCCGTAGTAGCTTGTTGAAAGCTGTTATGAATTATAACTCAGAGTATAGCGCATAATACTATAAGGGGAACATGATTACAATATTCTCCATAGAAATGAGGCCTAGGCAATATATAGGTGTGTTGACCAGGGGTTGAATGTTGAGGGTTGGACCAGTCAAGGGCTCGATAGTTCCAAGGATGACGGGGTCAAAATGGGTTTGGGGCAATTCGGGACAAGGTCGGCGGGGGCTGGTTTGGCGCGAGAACCAAAGGCCGAGCCTGCGGACCCGAGAGGTTCGCTTGTACTCGCTGTGGCGCGCCCCAGTAAGGAATCTTAATTCCTTACACTCTCTCACTTTCTAATGGAAGGCACTCCCTTTATCGATGTCGAACATTCATGAAAAGAAAATCGAGAAGAAAACTGAACAAGTGTTGAATAGAGAGAAAGAACAAGGGTATATACCTAAGAGTGTTGTACCCTCTAAGAGGAGACCCTATACAGTCTATACAAATATGAGTTATACATATATTTGATACACCCGCTAGACTGCATAGGGGCAGATCCTGAACAAGCAGCTCAGGGCGGCACTACTAGTCCAGCCACTGAGACAAAGGTCTAAAGACCAGTCAAAAGGAGTACAGGCAAGACAAGAACAAGACCAGGGCGGCACTACTAGTCCAGCCAATGGGAGAGGACACAAGTCCCGTCTGAGTACATATATAGATATATATAGGACAGTACAAAGTCAAAGTCCTAGCAAGTGAGAGGCTACAGGAACTAGACCGAGCTGTACACAGTTCCGCTGATGATCTTTAGGCGCAAGCGCCTTCGTAAAGATATCAGCTGTGTTGGCACCAGAGGCCAAGTGAACTACGAGGGCCTGGCGGCGCTGCTGTAGCTCGCGCAGGAGGAAGTACCGCAGCTGGATGTGCTTCGCTCTGCCCTCAAGTCGAGGCTCCTGACACAGGAGTATCATGGCCCTGTTGTCAGCGTACAAGACCGCGGCAGAGCTAGGCCGCTCACCTAACTCTGTGAGCAAGAAGGTCAGCCAGCGGAGCTCCTGTGCCGCCATGGCACCAGCGTAGATCTCAGCCTCACAGCTCGACTGAGCAACAGACGACGAGCGAGTGGATCTCCAAGAGATAGCACCCGAACCAAGGCTAAAACAGTAGCCCTGCGACGACCTGAGCGTCTCAGAGTCGTTTGCCCAAGAAGCGTCTGTGTGCCCAGTGAGGACCACTGGCCTGCGTCCTCCTAACACTAACCCCATGCCTGATGTACTTGCTAGATATCGCAAAACCCTCTTAGCGGCCGACCAGTGCTAAGGTCGGTGTCTGCCAGTGGCCACAAAGCGAGCCAGGATGCTGAGAGGGTATGCGAGATCTGGGCGAGTGCAGGTCATCAGGTACATGAGGCAACCCACCAGCTCTGCGTAGGGGCCGCTGGGCTCTACTGGCTCCTCAGGAATAGGAGCGGAAAGCCCGTAGTCTACAGGTAGAGGTGTGGGCTGTGCAGAGGAGAGCTGAAGACCGAACCTCTGAAGGACCTGACGCACCAAGTGTGACTGTGTCAGAGTGATGGTGCGTGCTGCTCTGTCCCTAGAGATCTGCAGGCCAAGATAGCGACCCAGCTCTCCAAGGTCAGTGCAGGTGTGTCTCTTCAGCAGCTCAGTCTTCACAGAGGCCAGTGCGTCCCTGTTAGGAGTAGCGAAGACCAGGTCGTCTACGTAGACAAGGATGTAGAACGGAGTTTGGCCGGAACGCACAAACAGTGAAGGGTCAGCAGAGGACGGAAAGAACTGCAGGTCTGCTAACGTGGCACGTAGCGTGTCGTGCCACTCGCGGGGAGCCTGACGCAGGCCGTAGACCGGGCGCCTGAGAAGCCACTGGGTCCCAGGAGGGAAGGCAGTGAAGCCCTGTGGTCGGCGCAGGTAAACCTGCTCGTGTAGGCTGCCCTGAAGAAAGGCAATAGAGAAGTCGAGGGAGTGAAGCTCGTAGTCACGTAGTGCTGTTACGTGTAGCAGCGCCCGAAGAGTGGTCATCTTCGAGGTCGGGGCGAAGGTCTGGAAGAAGTCAACCCCCTCGCGTTGACTGAAACCTCTGGCCACGTAGCGCGCCTTGAAGACAGGCGGCTCTCCAGGGGGGCGCTTCACCTTGAAGAGCCACCGACCATCGACTACGTTCACCCCAGGCGGGGGAACTGCGTCGACGTAAGTGCCGGTGGACCTCCAAGATGCCATCTCTTGCTCCATGCCAGCTATCTACTGAGAGGCCCAAGGTCCCGAGGTGCGAGGGGTCGGGATGTCGAAGGCGTCTGGGTCACCCTCAGGGACTAACAGCATGGAGCAGAGATAGGGAGCAGCCTCGGAAAGGAAAGCAAGCTCGTACTGCCTGTCCTCTAGGACGTCACTCCCAAGGGCAGGAGCACCCCCGACGGACGGAGGATGGGCAGGGTAAGAGACCAGAGCGGTAGCGTAGTCAAGGCGGCGGGTAGAGGCGAAGTCAGCGACAGCAGCGACAAGCGCGTCAAGGCACGAGACAGGAACAGAAGGGTCGGTAACAAGAGAGGCAAGGACCCGAGGGACAAGGGGACGAGCTGCACGGAGGTAGTCAGAGAACGGAGGAGGTGCAACAGCAAGGGACGAGGGAGGAGGGGACGGGAGGAGGGGAGGACGAGACGAGCGGGAATGGAGCAACATAGGGTGGGTGGGCAGGACAGGAGAGACGAGACGAGCACGGGAGGGACGGCGAGCCCAAACGTGAGACGGAGGTGTAGGGTCAGGGGACAGCGGAGGAGACACAGGAGGGGAACGAGGAGGAAGACGGGCCGGAGACAAGTCTGGCGGCGGGAACACAGGACCGTAGACAGGAAGATCAGCAGGCGGTGGGGGAGAGACCGTCACGCGGTCCGGTGAGGGAAGGCCGAGCAGGCGAAGAGCGGAGACCGGCGGCGACGACGGCTGGGCCGGAACTCTCGGACCAGCAGAGGCAGAACGACCATCGGCAGAACACTCAACAGCAGCACCCCCAGAACCAACACCCCCAAAGCGAGAACCCCCTCCAGCACCAGCGGCACCCCCAAAAGCCGCAGGACGAACACCCACCTCCACACCAGCACCCCCAGGGGCCAAGAGCAGCAGCGGCAGTGGCGGCTACGACTGCGGCGGCGACGGCTGCGGCGGCGGCAACAGCGGCGACGGCTGCGGCGGCGACAGCGGCGGCGGCTGCAGCGAGTCGGCGACTGCGACAGTGGGGGCGGAGGCACCGGGGAAGGGGGACACGGCAAGGACAGACCAGGGGTACCACCAGAGTCAGCAGACTCCTCAACGGGGACAACCGACGTGAGGGGAGTGACGTGAGAGACACCAGACGGGGCAGGACGAGGCGGGAGAGGGGCAGGGGCTACCGGGGGAGAGGGAGCAAGGAACAGAGGGGGGGCAACCGGGAGAACTCGGTGAGGGAAGTGGCGGTAGAAGGAGACTGGCTCGTCAAAGGTAACGTCGCGAGAGTGGAGGAAGCGGTGAGACGGCGGGTGATAGAAAAGCCAGTCAGACGAGTCCAGGGGGAAACCGAGGAAGACACAGGGGACAGTGCGGGCAACGAGCTTGTCCGTGCCAGAGGCACGAACGTGAGCAAGGCAGCCCCAGACGTAGAACGCAGACGCGTCACCGGGGGACCCGGTCCAAAGGAGGGTCGGCAAAACCTGCGGCCGCTGGGAGCGTGGCCACAGGTTAAGCTGGTGAGCAGTGTAGCGAACAGCGAACGGCCACAGAAAATGGGGGGCATCGGCATGGATCATGGAGGTACGGGCGACCTCCATGACCAAGCCGATGCGGCGCTCAGCAACCCCATTCTGCTGTGGCGAGTCCGGCAAGGTGTACGACTGGGTGATGCCCTCCGCACGACAGAACTGTCCAAGCCGACCAGAGGCAAACTCGCCGCCACGGTCGGAGTGGAGACACAACACGGGGAGACCGCGGTGGAGACGCGCAGCCACAACCCACGGGAGAAGAACGTCGGGCACGTCGGCCTTCCGCTCCAGGGGAAACACCGTGGTGTAGCGCGTATAGTCGTCGACGAGCACAAGGAAGTAGCGCTCACCGCGCGGTCCGGGGACGGGGGCAGGGCCCCAAACGTCCAGGTGCAGGGTCTGAAGGGGGGCAGTAGCCGGGCGCAGCGAGGAGGAGTGTGGGGCACGGCGGAGGCGGCCCTCGACGCAAGGCGTGCACGGTGGCGCAGTCGAGGGAGGAAGGGCGGGGAGCGACGCAGGGAGACCTAAGACAAGACCGTGCTGGGACATGTGACGCAGACGAGGGAGTGCAGGGTGACCTAAGCGGTGGTGCCAGAGAAGGGACGGGTGAGTGAGGGAACGACACGAGCAAGCTGCAGCAACCTGGGAGGA